GCTCATGTTTACCCAAAATTGTTTACAGTCACTGGACAATTCTGGGGGTGCCCAGTATTCCAAGTTAAACATTTACCTGCAAACACTTGGCATTATATCAAATGGATACTTGGAGGATTATTTTAGTTGTTTTATAACAACCAACCACAAACAAAGACTAATTATGAATAGACTTCTACTGTTTGGCACATTTATCCGCAGTCATTCCTTTAGTTGGAAAGTTTATTTGGTCTTGTGCCTATTAAATGAAATATTTAATGGTCTAAATTATAGGAAATAATTGTGGATCCCTTTGAAATTTTATTACAATCCAATATTTCACATAATAGATTCCAATAATACTTTAGGAACGCAGACTTAACTGTCTGTACCCAAATGTTGAAAGGGCTGCATGTTATTACTATTTTTTTGATTTGTGTGGAACCATGGTCATATTTAAGATGGCATATTAAATATTGTGTGGAACCCTGGTCATATTTAATATGGCATATTAAATATTGTGTGGAACCATGGTCATATTTAATATGGCATATTAAATATTGTGTGGAACCATGGTCATATTTAATATGGCATATTAAATATTGTGTGGAACCATGGTCATATTTAATATGGCATATTAAATATTGTGTGGAAAGATGGTCATATTTAATATGGCATATTAAATATTGTGTGGAACCATGGTCATATTTAATATGGCATATTAAATATTGTGTGGAACCATGGTCATATTTAATATGGCATATTAAATATTGTGTGGAACCATGGTCATATTTAATATGGCATATTAAATTTTGTGTGGAAACATGGTCATATTTAATATGGCATATTAAATATGTATTACAATAGAATTAATTGGTATTATTTGACACAATATAGTAGTTATTAAACCGCAAAAAAATACAGCTCATGTTCTGTTTAAGTAAGGTAATGGCTTTGGTACATGTAGATTACTTACCTGATATATAAGATTTGCTAATATGCACTGTACTTCATCTGAGTCTATGTCGTCTATCTGCATGAATTTCAATGCAGTTTCAAACGCACTCACAGGTAACTGATGTG